GCACTCCGCGGAACGCTCTGCGGAGGCCGCGGCGCCCAAGGCATCTTGTTGTAGCACTGGTCCTCAGAGATTCTCGATCCATCCTCCCCCGATCCGATCGTCTCCTCGTCTGGGCTTCGTCTGGCGCGGAGGCCTAGCTGGGAGGCGGAACGGGGGGGGGAGGGGGGGTCGGCAGAACTACGTGGGTGTGGGGCGGGAGAGGGAGGAGGAGGAGGAGGAGGAGGAGGAGGAGGAGGAGGAGGAGGAGGAGGAGGAGGAGCAGGAGGAGGAGGAGGAGGAGGAGGAGGAAGCGCGGTGGTGGGGAAGGGCAGGGCAGCGGCACGGGCGGGCTGCAGGGCGGGGCGGAGGGAGGGGCTCGCGGGAGGGAGCGCGTGTGGGCGCGAGGGCACAAGGGTGAGGTGCACGCCGGTCGTCGAGAGCAGGTCTTGCGTCTGGACGCCCGAAATGGGTACGGAAAGAATGGGTACAATGCCCAACAGCGGATCTTGTTCATTCCCCACATGCTTCGTGGGGTTCTGGTTTTCTTCCTTGCCGCGCCGCACCCGCGACACTCCCACACACACCTCACTCTTCCTCTCCTCCTCGCAGCACTGCTCAGCACATCTCAGCTCAGCTCAGCCCAGCACGGCACAGCTCAGCACAGCACAGCTCAGCTCATCTCAGCACAGCACAGCGCAGCACAGCACAGCATAGCTCAGCCCAGCTCAGCACAGCACAGCTCAGCTTAGGGGGTGCGCAGGGGGTGGTCCCTCACCGCGGCCGCACGCAGGAATGCAGGGTGCGGCAGGCGTGGCAATGTCTCCATAGCAGAGGCGGTGCGCGGGGGGTGCGGTCTCTGTGCGTTGCAGGCGCGCAGGGCACGGCAGGCGCGGCACTCTCGACACCAGGAGGGTGCGCAGAGGGTGCGGTCTCTATGCGCTGCAGGCGCGCAGGGCACGGCAGGCGTGGGAATTCTCGACACCAGAGGGATGCACATGGGGTGCGGTCTCTATGTGTTGCAGGCGCGCAGGGCACGGCAGGCGCGGCATTTTCTCGACACCAGGAGGGTGCGCAGAGGGTGCGGTATCTATGCGTTGCAGGCGCGCAGGGCACGGCAGGCGTGGGAATTCTCGACACCAGAGGGGGTGCGCAGGGGGTGCGGTCTCTATGCGCTGCTTCGTGGGGTTCTGGTTTTCTTCCCCACATGTTTCGTGGGGTTCTGGTTTTCTTCCCTGCCGCGGCGCACCCGCGTCTCACCTCACACCTGCCGCGTCGCACCCGCGTCTCACCTCACACCTCCCCTCCTCCTCCTCACAGCACTGCCACCGGAGGGGGTGCACATCGGGCGCGGTCTATGCGTTGCAGGCGCGCAGGGCACGGCAGGCGCGGCACTTTCTCGACACCAGGAGGGTGCGCAGGGGGTGCGGTCTCTATGCGTTGCAGGCGCGCAGGGCACGGCAGGCGTGGCACTTTTTCGACACCAGAGGGGGAGCACAGGGGGTGCGGTCTCTATGCGTTGCAGGCGCGCAGGGCACGGCAGGCGCGGCACTTTCTCGACACCAGGAGGGTGCGCAGGGGGTGCGGTCTCTATGCGTTGCAGGCGCGCAGGGCGCGGCAGGCGTGGCACTTTCTCGACACCAGAGGGGGTGCACAGGGGGTGCGGTCTCTATGCGTTGCAGGCGCGCAGGGCACGGCAGGCGCGGCATTTTCTCGACACCAGGAGGGTGCGCAGGGGGTGCGGTCTCTATGCGTTGCAGGCGCGCAGGGCGCGGCAGGCGTGCGACAGAGGGGGTGCTCTCTCTATGCGTTGCAGGCGCGCAGGGCACGGCAGGCGTGGCATTTTCTCGACACCAGAGGGGGTACAGGAGGGTGCGGTGCATGCGTTGCAGGCGCGCAGGGCACGGCAGGCGCGGCACTTTGTCGACAACAGGAGGGTGCGCAGGGGGTGCGGTCTCTATGCGTTGCAGGCGCGCAGGGCGCGGCAGGCGTGGGAATTCTCGACGCCAGAGGGGGTGCACATCGGGTGCGGTTTCTATGCGTTGCAGGCGCGCAGGGCACGGCAGGCGCGGCACTTTGTCGACACCAGGAGGGTGCGCAGGGGGTGCGATCTCTATGCGTTGCAGGCGCGCAGGGCGCGGCAGGCGTGGCACTTTCTCGACACCAGACGGGGTGCACAGGGGGTGCGGTCTCTATGCGTTGCAGGCGCGCAGGGCACGGCGGGCGCGGCATTTTCTCGACACCAGGAGGGTGCGCGTTGGGTGCGGTCTCTATGCGTTGCAGGCGCGGCAGGCGTGGGAATTCTCGACACCAGGGGGGGTGAACAGGGGGTGCGGTCTCTATGCGCTGCAGGCGCGCAGGGCACGGCAGGCGCGGCATTTTCTCTCACCAGGAGGGTGCGCAAGGGGTGCGGTCTCTATGCGTTGCAGGTGCGCAGGGCATGGCAGGCGTGGGAATTCTCGACGCCAGAGGGGGTGCACAGGGGGTGCGGTCTCTATGCGTTTCAGGCGTGCAGGGCGCGGCAGGCATGGCAAAGTCTCGATAACACAGGGGGGTGCGCGTTGGGTGCGGTCTCTATCCGTTGCAGGCTCGCACGGCGCAGCAGGCGTGTCATTTTCTCGACATCAGAGGGGGCGCGCAGGGAACGGCCACCAACATCATTCTCACATGCTTCTTTTCAGCTATCATCACTCCAGCCATAATATAAGTATGTGGGGTTCCTCGGTAGCGTAATTTTGAACAGGGCTCGCTGTCCACGCCGCCGCGGCCTGTGTCCATTCGGGACAGGAGGCCGCCTGCCCAACAGCGGCCACTGTTGGTTTGGGACAACATTTGTTGTTGGGCATCGTACCCATTTTTTCCGTCCCCATTTCGGGCGTCCAAAGAGATGCACGCCAGTCGTCGAGAGCAGGTCTTGCGGGTCTCCCAGAGACCCCAACCTGCTTTTCAAGCGCCAAGCTACGTCGAGGGCTGATGGTGATGGGCTAGTTTCGGTGCGTTGCTATTCTCTGGGGGGGCACCTGAACCCCCAATCTACTTTCTCCGCCTTCCCACTTCATGGTCTTACCCATTGCTTCCGAACGACGTGTACCGGCGCAAGTGCAGCAGGACTTTGACCTTTGACCCTTGACCTTCCCATGGTCCATCTCGGCCCGTTTTCCGAGGCGGATCCAGCCGCGGCGACGAGGAGCCTCGAGGGCCCCAAGCAAGAGACGGCTAGCGCCAGGCAGGGCCGCCGTTGTCTCGACTGGCCCTCCTCCGAGCCGTTCTTTCCTTCCCCTCCCTTCGGCCAAGCCCATCAGTCGCTCCCTCCCCTCCCCCTCCCCCTCCCCCTCCTCCTCCTCCTTCTCCTCCGCTTCCTCCTCCCCCTCCTCCTCCTCCTCCTCCTCCTCCTTCTCCTCCCCCTCCTCCTCCTCCTCCTTCCTCCTCCTCCTCCTCCTCCTCCCCCTGCTCGTTGTTATTCTCATCCTTCCCTCCTCTCCCTTCTGCCAAGCCAATCGGTCGCTCCAGTGACTCAGGATGCAACTCCTGGGAGGTGAAGATCCGCGCCGGCTCAAATGCTTTCGTGGCCGGATTCTGGCCGCAGCTGGCAGAATCCCGTCTTGCGTCACCGAAGCCTGGTTGACTGGCTCGTCCGTGCTTGCTCTTGGGCTTGACCTGGGCTGGTGCGGCTGAGTGGCCTTGGAATCGTGACGAAAAGCCCTTGACCATTGCCAGGAACGCCTTCCACGAGCTGCCTCGCGAGGTGGTCCGAGAGAGATGTCCGAGGCGGGAACGTAGCTTTTTTTTCGGAAACTGGCACATCTACATTACCAGTGGCGGCCTGTTTTTTCAATCCCATGATTTCTTGGGGGTCGAGGACGACGCTGGGGTGGCGTGGTGTATTTTTTTTGTCCCCGATGTCCCGGGGAAGCACCAGGGTCCCGTATACACCAGGATCCCCTCTCCAGTGCAGATTCCAATGCAGGGCCGGAAGAAGCGTCGGTGTCTACACGCCAGTCGCTGAAAGTATGTATTTTCGGATTCCCGGATCCCAATCTACTTCAAGCGCCTTGCTACTTCAAGAATCGACACGCCTTTGCTGTGTCTTGTTGTTCCCTGGGGGGCCTGGACCCAATCAACTTAATCCGCCTTCCTACTTCTCACACCCTTCTCTCATGCTGTGTGTTTTTTTCGACTCGGCTGGCCTGTTAGTGCGTCAGTGCCGAAACAGCTGCAATGAGGGGACTGTGCGTCACAGAAAAACAAACAAATGTTTGTACCTACTTCTTCCGACCGACGTGTCGAGTTCGATGCCCTGCTTTTCTGCTGCCACTGCCCCTGGGGGGAGGTGGCCTCCAGGGGTCTCCGCGGGCCGTGCACCTATAGGCACTGGGGCACACGTGTGCCCACGTCCGCCGCCCGCGGGGGCCCCGGGAGCAGGTTGCCCAGGCGGTCGGCATGAACACATGGCTGTGGAGGTCGAGCAATGCAGAGGAAGCACGCTGCCAAATAGTTCCCAGATGTCTACCAGCTGTGTCGAACATGTTTCAAACATGTGAAAAACATGCTCGGCGCCTGTGTAAGGACATGGCTTACACATGTTTGACACATCTTGAGTTCAATGACAGGATTGTTAGAGTGTCCACTGTCATGGCATCCACAAGGCAAACGTATGTCCATATCCGCCGCCCGTGGGGGCCCCAGGAGCAGGTTGCCCAGGCGGTGGGCATGAACCTATGAGAGCGCTCTCTTGTTCCCTGGCGAGGGCTGGCGTGACCGGGAAGGGGGGAAGGGGGGAGGGAAGTGGGCCGGTCAGGTCACCACTCGTGCCGGTTGTGGGGTCATTCCCAGACGGCGCTGGCGCGAATCGTGGTGTGACCAGAGGGGGGTGGGGGGGACGGGGGGTGCGGGGCAAGTCATGGGCGTGATCGCGAGTGATCTTGGAAGGGATCTGTTCTCGCCTCGCCTAACACGTGATCCGAGAAAGGTGGCAGCCGCAGCTGACCGTCCCGAGGGCGCCGCAGCTGCGCACGGACCGTCGCATGAGCCTCGGGCTGCGGCGCTCCGCAAGCTGCCCCGCGGACGAGGACCCACGGGCCTCTCCTCCCGCGCGTCCTCCTCATCGTCCTCGCTCGCTTGCTCGCCGGAGGGCCAATAGGCTCGCAGCCCAGACTACCTGCAGAGGAGAGAAAGGCGAAGGCAGTACCCCTTCAGCTCAAGTCGTGCATGCCCCTGCTACAGGAGGAAGATTCGATAATGGTAGGATAATCTTCTGGGGGTGCTTCTGTTTTGTTTTTTTTGTTGGGGCATGTTTGACCAATTTCCATTTCTCCTCGAACATCCGCCTGTAGGATCCGACGAAGGCATCTATACACCACCACCGTGCCAAGGCAGGGCCATCCTGGGCCCCAGGATGGTGTATAGACCCTCTTGGCCTCGGCCAGGAGGGCGTATACACCATCCTGGGGCCCAGGATGGCTCTGCCTTGGCACGGTGGTGGTGTATAGATGCCTTCTGCGAATAGGAGGACATGCCCGACCCAACCTTCACCTATCACGCACACGCAGGAGACAAGGAGGGCAGGAGGGGCACGGGCGCAAGGCGGCACCGAGGGTCAGCCGCTCCGGCAAGGGTGGCGCCCGCGAGCGCCTCGGCGACCACTCTGAGCAGGGTGGTGGTCCTCCTCCTGCTCCTCCTCCTCCTCCTCCCCCTCCTCCTCCTCCTCCTCCTCCTCCTCCTCCTCCTCCTCCTCCCTCCTTCTCCTCCTCCTTCTCCTCCTCCTCCTCGGGGGCCCGACTTCCCCCCGAGCGAGGTGCCCGCCTCGAAACCCCCGCCCCTCTTCCATCTCTCGGGGGATCGTAAGACCCGGGTTTGCCAGGACTCGGGTTCGCCATCGCTTTTTGACGACCGCGCCTCGGATTTTGACGAGGAGGAGTTTCGTGGGATGTCTGCCGCGGGAGGCCTCGTCAAAATGCAGGCTCGGCCTCGTCATTTTTTTGACGACCTCGTCGGGGATTTCCGGGTCCCCTGTACCCGGGTTTTACGCCCCCCTGGATCTCTGCGGGGAGGCAGCAGGGTGGGCAAGAGCCGTGTGTGGCGGCATTCCCTTTCCTTCGTACAGCTTCTTTCTCGTCTCTTTGCTGGGGCGCGCTCGAGAGACCGGCCGCGCCTTCCATCGCTTGGAACCTCCTCCTCTTTTCTCGGAGGTGGGTAGACCTCCTACCCTGACACGTCGATTAAGGAATTCGCCGTTTTCGGTTCGCGAGAGGGCGTCGCGGCGTTATTTTTGCGGGTCCAGGTCCGTCGGTTTCGGTCCCAGGCCATTTTCGCTAAAGGGAGGTTTACTACAGGGAGGTTTGTCCACCGCCGATTCTTTTGGCCCACAGTGGTCACCTTGCCATAGGGCTGCGTCCATGTGGGATTACCGCCATCGCTGAGGGCGTCCATATTGTTACACATGAAATTGCCCCTTCCGGGGACCAAACGAGTTACCGTGGACGCAGCGCTGAGGCTTGTGACGGCGAGCTTTGACGACGTTATGTTTACGTGTGTTATGCGTGAGAAACTGTAAGCATTAGTCGTTGTCCTCCTCGGCAGTGAGCGTTTATTACGGGTCATTATTGGTTGCTGACCAGCGCTGTTTGACACTACGAGGTGACAATCGGCGATAACAGGCGCGACTCGAGATAGTGATAGAATTCACTAGGCGCTAATAGGGCGGAACCTGCCTTGCGATCATTCTCTCTTGCATAATGCACTTGAGCTCTTGGGCACGCTCAACCTCCTTCTCTTCGTTTCTTTGCCGAAGCTGAAGGAAACATAAACGTAAACTTTCGGAGCTCCGCCCAGATTTCTTGGAGCGGCGTTTGCCCCTCCTAGCGGCGCCTCCGGCGCCATCCCTGGCGCGCTCCGCGCGTCAGGGTGGGGAGTCCAGCGCCGATCCAAGGAATCAGTGCGGACCTCTGCAAGAGTATGCATGTAAGGCTCAGTTATTCGACTCGTGGCCTTCTTCCTGCCTGTCCCCTCACTCGCCTGGGGCTTATGAGATCGTCGTTCGGAGCTTCCATATTCTACCACAAGCTGAAAACTGAACTTGCGGGCAGACCCAGAGCGACAACACCCGCCTACCACGTCGAAACATGAGCCTCAGCCTTCTTCGCAATGCTATGCTAGGGCCCAGGCGGTAGTTGATTCACCGTGGATTCCAGTTACGTGCGCTCCTGTGGTCTTCAATTTCTGGGCCAACGACAGGTGTTACCTCCCAGGGGATCCAGCTCCCACCAAATCCCACTAACTGATTCTTCGTTTCATTTGTGCTGGGTATTGCGTTTTTGTTATCATCCTTATTTGCCGCGTGGATCCAGCCAACGGCGACGTTCCATGCAGCGATCGAGGAAAGACGAGTACGATGATGGTTGCTGTGGGAAGACAGGACAGGGGCGAGGTAGGGCGGGGGCTGGGGAGGGGGAGCGGCGGGCCAGCAGATCTTCGCGGGCTGCGATGACGAGAAATGCCGCGCGCTCGCCGCGGCCACTGGGACGGAGGAGGCGCGAGGCCAGGCGGGCCCCGATATTTTCTGCCACGGGCCCACCGCTCTCGCGCAGGCCAGCGCCCGCAGCAACACACGACGATGCAGTCGCTGTGGGGCGCGGCGCCGCCTCCGCGAGGATATTTTTGGAGTTGTGCTGGGCGCGGGCCCACCAGGCATCCGCAGGGCTTAAGTCGGGCCTGTCCTCCTACGGGGTGGGTATTCAAAAAAGTAGTCAAAATAAAATCTGGGGCCGACTTTTCTGTGTATTTTGAACCATTTTGGAAAGCTCGTTTACCATCTTTTATGCTTCGTGCAGTCTGGGGCCGACTTTTTGCGTATTTTGAACCATGTTGGGGATATTCGTTTGCTATTTCTTATGTTTCGTGCGAAACCGCCTGTGAGGGGGACGTGCCCGACCTAACGCCGCAAGGCTGACAAGAAGCATGCGCGCGCCGAAGATGCGGCGAGGGTTGCCGTGGCCCCTTGGCGCGCGCGATGGCGCATCGCCCAGGGCGGCGCCACGGCCCCTTGGCGCGCGGCGTCCGCGGGTGCCCTGCCGACAAAGCGCGGGCGTTTGTCAACGAATTGCCGAAAGGCTTTCTTCAAGGGAGGGAAAACCACCCAAACCGGACAGTTGGCGTTTCCTAAACGTCATTGGGCGTTTACTAAACAGGCTTGCCCTGTTCGATCCCCTTTTGGGGCGCGTTTTCTAAACGACTTCGCGTATCGGGGTGGTTATTATGGGGTGGATGCTTTGACTTTTATGTCTCGCCCTGCTGAAAGCATTCCCATCGAGCTGGGCCTTTTAGCAATCGGCTGCGCGGGCGAGAAGAACGCGCGGAACCGCTGATTAGATTCCCTTTCCGCGGGTTTCTCGCGACCGCGGGGCTCGGCTCGACGAGGTCTGCGTCGGCCGCGAGGGGTCCAACGCCTGCGGAAACGCAGCGTCGGTGCACTTCCGCGACAGATGGGTTTGGTCGGAGCCGCGGGAGCGATAAGTGCGCGCTACCAGCTCGGGCGCAATGTGTCATGGCAGCCGCGCCGTCGCTGCCCAGGCCCGACTCCGCGAGGGCGCCCAGGGGTCGCGGAAGCGGTGGGCGCGTCGGCTGGACAGAGCGGCGTGGGGTTACCAGCCTGGAACATATCCCTATCACTATGCTGAGCACCTCCTCATCACGATGCCAATCTTAGAGATTCCCTTATTTTTTGAGGGCGAATCCCTAAGACTGTCATCGCCTTTTGGCGTGTCAATCTTAGGGATAGGGATACGTTCGAGGCTGGTAATGGGGGGGCTTCTTCCGCGCAGCCGGCTTCCTTGATGGGGCCGTGCGTCCAGATCGCGGTCTGCGTCAAAGGGGCGCGTGCGCCCGAGGCGCGGCCGCGGCCAGCGGCGCCTGCGCCGCGAGGAAATGCATGTTGGTCGTGGGCACCGCGAAGTTCCTGGCATCGCTCGGACGTGTGCATTTTTTTTGTCGGCGAGGACCATCGAGGAGCATCCTCGAGCATTTGGCGAAAATGCCACGCGCGAAACCGGAAAAAACACAGAGATTGGACGTCCGAGCGATGGCGAGAGTTGCAGGGCAGCGCCCCTCGGCACGATGCACCAGCGGCCACGGGCGCGCGAGACCCCAGGGGCGCCCTCACCGAGGCGCGCGTTGGGCGTGGGACAGGCGAGCGCAGGAAATTCCCCCCCCTTCGGGTGCAGGACGTTCGAAGGTGCACCCTCCTCCTCCTCCTCCTCCTCCTCCTCCTCCTCCTCGCCCTCCCCTCCTCGGGTCGCCTGTGGCCCCGGGGGGAGTCCGTCCAGGGCTCTCCTCTCCCCCTTCGGGTGCAGGACGTGCGAAGAGAGGGCGGATCGGCAGGAGCTGCGATTGCCGGGGGCCGTCCGCGGGTTCGCTGCGAGCCCTTTGTTTCGGATGTATGCGGGGCCCGCGCGCGCCAGGGCGTCGAAGAGGCGGCGGGTTGCGCCGACGGGTGGCGCCAGCGCCCGTGGCGGCGTTCTGCGAGGGGCAACGATGGGTGGGGACTGGCACAGGGGGGGATGCATCGACCTAGAAATCGGCGATACATCGCCGATAGATCGGCGATGGGCCTCCGATCGTGAATCCGCACCTTCCTGGGCAGGTTGGGGCTATCGTTCCCCCATCGGCAATCAATGGACGATTGGGGGTCGATGCGCCCCCCCCCCATATGCCTATCCTCCCCTATCGTTTGCGCCGTCGTCTAGCAGCGCCGGGCGCCGCCGCGGCGCGCAGCAACGGCGCGGCGATGGCGGGCGCGCGGCCCGCTGCCTCTGCCACGCGCGCCGCCCGCCCGGAAGGCTTTCGCAAGTCGGAGGGGCGCGAGCGGCGCAAGACTCCAACGCCAGTCTTGGAGTCTAGGGTTGAGTCGGGCGCGTCCCTCCACAGGGGGAATCTTCAAACATAGCCCCAAAGTAGTTCGTGGATGTTTTTTTGCAAGTTTGATTTGTGCCCCCAATTTTTTCCCCAAGAAAGGCGATGTGTGTGTTAGCTATTCTTTATTTGTCATCCAAAATTCCCCTGTAGGGGGACGCGCCCGACCTAA